CAAAAAAAACAAAAAACACACACACACGAAAACAAACAAACAAAAACCCCCCCAACAAAGCAACTGAATCTTGTTACTCAGAAAACAAATTCTTTGCAAACACCCCTAGTCAATATTTTAGAATACAATCTTGATAATAACTTCCGTATTATCTTTAACGCAAATGCTGTTTTCTTGGTAGCAACATTCATTTCTTTAGCTCTCCTGTAAAATTGTAAAAGCTGCATAATATACAGTACTTTTAAAAATGGCAACAGCACAGGAATCGAACTCAGTTCTCCCGCTGCATTATCTTTTTATTCTAACCAAACTATGAGTGGCTGTCCCAAGCTGGTTAATATACAAATAAAAAAGAAACGAACAAAACTACCCCACCAAAACAAAAACAAAACTAAACAAAAATATGTTATAGCCAATCTCGGACCTGTGTGATGAGATGATCATCATTTGTGTACCACTCTTCAGCGAAACCCCCCGGGGCGGTGCCACTGACTGAAGTGTCTGTAGGGGAACATTTCTCGTTCAAGCATAGTAGAATTGTAAATGGGCCGACTCATGTCACGCTCATAACTGTGCCTGATCTACAACAGGGAACTGCTGTTTTTTCTTTCCTGATCCTTACTATTATCATTTTCCTCTACTTCTTTTGTATGTTTGTCACTCTCTTGTGACCTGCTATTTTGGGGTGCCTTGATAGTCGAAGCAGACCTTTTGCTGCTGAAGCTAGAGAGGTGAGCAGTTTAAGTCTGATTCCCTGTAAAGACTTCTCTGTTGACACCCACCCCTTGGCGCTCATATGACCTTATGCAGCTGCGAGCACCGTAAAACCTTCTACTATAAAAGAAAAATCTTCAGCGAAACACCATCTTAAGGAACCAAAACCAATTTAATACATAATGTATTACATGTATTTTGTGGATCTAATGGAGCAAAGCCTTGACTGTGAGGAGTTCACGGCAGTACTCTTCCTCAGTGTCTGTGGGTCTTGTCTTAACTGAGGTTCACAGTGTAAGGGTTTTACCTGGTTGTATTATTGTGTTATCGCGTTCTTGTGTGTCGTATTTGCGTTTTTGTTGTGTTGTTGTGTTGCTGTGTTGCTGTGTTGATGGGTCAATGTATTGTTGTGATGTTGTGTTATTGTATTATTGTGTTGTCATGTCGGTGCGTTGTTACGTTGTTTGGTTATTTTGTAGTTGTGTTGTTGTGTTTTATTGTATTGTTGTGTTGTTGTATTATCATGTTATTTTATTGTTGTGATGTTAAGTTATTGTATTGCTGTGTAGTGTGTTATTGTGTTATTGTGTTGTTGTGTTGTTATAGTGTTGCCTTGTTGTGTTATCATGTTGTTGTGATGTTAAGTTATTGTACTGCTGTGTTTTTATTTTGTTGTGTCACTGAGTTGTCATGAAGTAGTATTGTTGAGCTGTTAAGTTGTTATGTTGTTGTGTTGTTGCATTATTGTGTTATTGTGTTGTTGCATTATTGTGTTATTGTGTTGTTGCATTATCGTGTTATTGTGTTGCCATGTCGTTGCGTTGTTGAGTTGTTGTTGTGTCGTTGTATTGTTGTTGTGTAATTGTGTTGTTGTATTTTTGTGTTGTTATATTGTTGCGTTGCTGTATTACTGTGTTATTATGTTGCTGTGTGTTGGGTTTTTTCGTTGTTAATGTCGCTGTGTTATTGTGTTGCTGTATTATGCTGTTGCTGTTGAGTTATTGTTTTGTTATGTCATTGTGCTATTGCGTTGTTGTGTTACAGAAATACGCTCTGACTCACTCGTTAATGCTCGCTTCTGTCTGTTGCTTTGAGATCAATCGAACAAATATTTCATGATAAGCCAGGTAGTCATTGTACCAGAAATGAATAATTTCGGAAGATAAACAGTCACAAGTAATCTCACAATCATTCGATCTTCTACAAGAGCAAGCGTTAGCTTTGGCCTCTGATTTTGAACAAATAAACACAAAAGAACAGCAACAACAGCAACATCATCATCAACATCATCATGATCAACAGCAACAACATAATCATCCTCATGAACAACAACAACAACAAAAACAACAACAACAACAACAACAACAACAACAACAACAACAACAACAACAACAACAACAACAACAACAAAAAGAACATCAACTACAATCACAAAAAGCCATAATGTAACAAAAACAACAGCGACAACAAAAATACTACAATGGTAGTGAACAAAAAATAATTCAATGATGATGATGATGATGATAATGATTATATTATTAACACTACTACTACTACTACTACTACTACTACTACTACTACTACTACTACTACTACTACTACTACTACTACTACTACTACTACTACTACTAGAAGTA